CCACCCTTTAAACCCTAGTTGAGAGGCACACGGAGACATTGGATGCATGCACTGTCCCGGTGTATACTGCTGACTAGAAAATTCTCTGATGTAAGTGCATATCCACACATGTTCCACAGTTGGTATATGAATTAGCACTCAAAGAACCAAATTTACTGCAACCCGTTGACTAGGACAAAAATTCCCTATTTAATTTCAATACAAAAGATGCAAATTGAAATGTGAGAGAGAAAGAAACAGTCATGAACAAAAAAATATGCTTTTAAACCAGATAGTTACAATTTCAACAAAATACAGAACCACCATATTAGCATAAAAATGCACCTTATCCCATTGTCTGACATGAGATTTAAGGGGGGGGGAGGAAAAGGAAGTGGAGGGGGACAGAGCATAATCACGGATGTTGAAGTATATTGTGGAGAGGACAAGGAGAGCAGTGATTATCATCAAAAAGTTGTAGCCATGTTTACGAAGTGATCTTTAATTGGGCTTTCTGAAGTAAGAATGCCTTGTAGCATCTCCCAACATTTGGAGGTCTAGATTGTTTCGACTTAATAGTAGTCTGTTTGCAAGTTTACAATCCTAGCTGTTTATCCCGCATGAAAACATTTTGACTAAAGAAGAACTCCCAAAACAAACCAGAAATCCCAAAAGGGGGGCAGGTGGTTTGTGCAAAACCTGAGCTTCCTGTGCACCTCCTCACCAGCTACTCAAGCTCTGGCCTTGCCACTGGATGATTCTCCTGTATAAGTCAAAGGCTGTGAACACACTTTTTGAGACATATTATGTGACTTTGCTTGGTAGGCAAAACAGTAAAGGGAGTGATAATATGTTTTTGTGCTTCTGCAACATGGGATATTCCATTGAGCTAGGTAATATTTTCTTGCCAAGACTAAATAAATAAAAATAGCGAGGGAGGCAACCACCTGCATCTTCTTCTCTCAAACCAATGTTATCCGGGCTCTAGTAATCACCCATATTGTCTGTTTCCTAATGAAGACAAGTTTCCAACAACAAAATGCCAAACAGATGAAACACTTTGTTTTGTAAACCCAAATGAGAGAAATGGGTGGTGGGCCTACCAAACTGGCAAACTGAGTTCTCTGGGTGGTATGATTACCTAACTCAATAGGTAGATTAGGAATTAAAGAAAGGTAATGTAATTAATGCAAATCAATATAGGTTTATGGAAAACATATCCTGTCTAACTATTTTTGTTTAAATGAGATTACAAATTTGGTTGATAAAGGGAATAGCAATAATATACTTAGACTTTTCTAAAGCGTTCGATCTAGTACAACATGACATTTTGATTAAAAAACTAAAACAGCATAAAAGCAACATGCCACACACTAAATGCATTAGAAACTGGATAACTAATAAGTCTCAAAATGTAATTGTGAACAGAAATGGTAATCAAGCAGATGTGTTTACAGTGAGGTCCCACAGGGATTGGTTCCTAGCCCTACACTAGTTAACATTTTTATCAACAACAGGGAAAAAAACAAAATCATCACTGATAAAGTTTGCAGATGACAAAAAACTGAGCAAGTGGTAAATAATGAAGACAACAGGTCACTGATTTAGAGTGTTCTAAATTGGTAAACTGGGCCCAAGTAAACATGATGTGTTTTAATATGGCTAAATATAAATGTATACATCTAGGAATAAAGAACACAGGCCATACTTACAGGATGGGGGATTCTATCCTAGGAAGCAGTGACTGAAAAAGATTTGGGGGTCATAGGGGATAATTAGCTGAACATGAGCTCCCAGTGTGACGGTATGGTCAAAAGGACTAATGGGATCCTTGGATGCATAAACAGGAGAATTTCAAATAGGAGTAGGGAGGTTATTTTACCTCTCTATTTGGCACTGGCGTGACACTTGCTGGAATACTGTGTCCAGTTCTAGTGTCCACAATTCAAGAAGGATGTTGATAAACTGAAAAAGGTTCAGAGAAGAGCCAGGAGAACGATTAAAAGATTTTAAAACATGCCTTACAGTGATAGATTAAGCTCTTTGAGTCTATTTAGCTTAACAAAGAGAAGGTTAAGGGGTGACTTGAATGCAGTCCATAAGTACCTACATGGAAAACAAATATTAAATAATGGGCTCTTCAATCTAGCAGAGAAAGATTGTGTATAACACAATCCAATGGCTGGAAGTTGAAGCTAGACAAATTCAGACCGGAAACAAGGTGTAAATGTTTAAGGGTGAGAGTAATTAACCATGGCAATAATTTACCAAGGATCATGGAGGATTCTCCCTCACTGTCAATTTTAAAATCAAGATTGGATGGTTTTCTAAAATGTATGCTCTAGGAATTAGTTTGCGGAAGTTCTATGGCCTGTGTTATACAGGAGGTCAGACTAGAGGATCACAATCGTCCCTTTAGGCCTTGGAATCTATCACACTAGTGACTGCAGGGTAACTATTTCTCTCTTTTTCCCTCCCCTCTCTGTTAGCTTTTTGGCAGCTTTGCACTTGCATTGTAAAACTGGATTCTTCTAAACAAGCTGAGGCTAAATCCCAACAATACTGATATTATACCAGTTGAGAATTGGAGGAAGTATAAAGAGAAGAATATTGGCTTAGTTCTCCTAAACTTAGTTGAGGAGTCACTTCAGAATACTACTGTAGAGTTCAGAATCTTGGTATGACATTAGAAGACTAGATATCAGCAGGATCAAAGACGGTTTTTACTGTCTGAAAAATGTTACCACCATGATAAGACCTGTGATGAAATTTCCCCATCCACTTGCTACAGCAGGGAAAAAAAACCCAATTAGAGACGTGATCACACCTATGGTATAACTCATGGATTGCCTCCTGGCCAGAGAAGTCTGAACTCCACATGATAGTCCATTAGATACCCTGGCCTTACAAGCAGGCTGAGGGAGCAACTGCAGAGGAGGTAAGACTCTCCTTCTGGGGAAAGTCCAGAAGTTTGAGGCTTTCTGTGGCTGGAGAGCAGAGTCACAGGAGTACATCTAACTCCTGGACTCTGTGGTGGACTCCTGGAACAAGGGTCCAGTGTTCCAGAAGAGGAACAGGGAAAAGAAGGGACCCACAGGGAGCAAGGTGTGTCCTATACCAGATTGGAATTTTTTACAAGTCAGTATAACAGTAAGATAAAATCTCCTTTTACAGTAACATTTTCTTTCTATGCTACTGATTCCAAGAATATTGACACTTTAACAAGGAAGCCACCCCTCACCTCAGAAATGCCAGTTTTACATCATCAGCCTAATGTTCAAGGATACTTCACAGTTTGTTCACAGTGAAGCATTTCTCATTTTGGTTTACAAACTGCTTTGCTTAAAAACAAAACCCCACACTTTTCCTTTTAAAAGGAAGAATCGTTTAAAGTCCTTTCCTTCCTTCTAAATCAGAAGGCTATCACATTTGGAATAGAACAGCCTTATCAAAACTTCTAATCAGGGTCACTTTATAATCTAGTTTTATGGCTGATTCAAGATAGATAGATAGATAGATAGCAAGCATCTTGGGGTAATGAGCCAATTCTATTAACTTACACTGGGCAATTTATTTGCGAGAGGAACTTCCACTTCAACCATTATGGCCTAAAAATCCTATGTTTGATCCTAAAAGTATGTATAAATCTGGGCAGGTTGCCTTCAGCGCAAGAATTGTTCTTCAACTTGAAGCATTGAAACACAAACCATCCATATCAGTGCCAGGGCCAGAAGAATCCAAGCCCAAAATAATGCTGTAACTATCACAAGAATCGATAATACTAAAACTTAACGATGCTACTGTCTGCCTACAGTTACAGTATTGGAAATCTCACTTACGGATTGAGGCCTAGATACTTTGCAACCGCTTAGAAAACTGTGCAGCATAGCTTTCATCAGCTCTCATGAGCCAAGAGATTAAGACAACAGGAAAGGAAAGTAATATAGTAGCTTTATGCTAATAAACAGCTGATAGCTGGTTTTAAAAAAAATCTGTGCTTTAGCTCAAAGGCTAGAATATAAAGAAGCATTACAGGGAAGAGGATGAAGAACTCTAAGTCTAGTTTACTCAGAGTACAAAAAGCCTCCTGACTCCTTGTTCAGAGAGATTTTCACAGGGCTTTTCATTTTAAATTCCTTTCAGTGTGTTTCAACATCTCTAATGTTGTGAATAGTAATCAGCTGAGTTTATCTTATTATGTAACCTGCTTCTCATTGCAATGTAAAGCACTATACATTTTCATTAATGTGCTGTATAACTTTTATTCACTTTATAGATGTAAATTGATAGGTCTTAGTTTAGGATCAGGGAGGAACTAGCCTATTTTTCTTGCAGCAGAGTTGTGCTCTGTTAACAATCAAGGGGAAACACACAAAGCATTCATAGAATGTTTTGCATTCATTGTGTCCAAACTCTACATAGTGGCATGTGTGTCCCAGATCATCCAGATTTCAAAATTTGACACGACCTCAAATTCTCTTAACAAAAGTGTTTTAATCTAAGGCACCAAACAACAACAACATAATGAAGCAGTAGCACTGGCTCTGGGATTCATGAGATTGAGAGTCAAGTTATCCATAAATTCGCAGGATCTGTGCTCTCTCGAATATAAGAAGAAAGCTTCATAAAGTTCCTCTCTAAGTTCTCAGTTCTCTTTCCATTGATTTTTCAATTGGGTGACATGATGTGGCCCTGCATCCTACGAGAAATAACCTGACAATGTTCTAAAGATGGATCAGGTTTTTTTAAATGACAGATACCACCATCATGTCAGAAACAAAATTAGTTCCTCAGCTTTAGAGTGATTATTTAACATTTCATAACATGCCATCACCAAGCTTCACAGATTACATCACTACCAAGTTCATCGTAATTTACCATAAACATCACACTTTTAATCACAAGAACCAAAAAACAGTGTAAAAATACAACTAAGAAAAAGCATATTATTCAATGGGAAAGGTATTTAAACTACCTAAACACAACCGGGGAAACATAAGCAAAAATAACCCTTATCTTACTTGAGGAAAGTGAGCATTGTAGAATGCTGCCAGTGGAGCTGGATTACTCGTTCAATAGGATCAGAGGGCAATGACTGGCTCGAAGTAATTCCTGGTAGCAACTGTCCACTCAGATGGAGTAGCATGTCATAAACAGTCTTTGTATCTTTGCCGAGGTTTTGTTTAATAACTTTTTCATCAGATGAAGTCATCTGGATTTTACACACATCACTAAACGGGGGGGAAAAATTAACTTTACTGTTTTAAATACATTAAAACAGACTTGCATTAAAAATAACTACTGTACCATTAACTGTGGTGAATTCATTAATAAACCATTATGGAAAGGTCTGAGGAATGGATTGTGAAAAATATAGTACTTCCTGATTTCTATACAGAAGTTATGACAACATAAAAAAATCTTATTTGGTTAGACTATTTAATACAACTGAGCCTGTGCTAGTCACCATTACCTTTCAAGTACAATTTCATTTTCACCCTATATAAAAACCTACACATTTGAGAACCAACCAAATGAGAGAATGTCTTTTTCTTTCAGTACTATCAAACAGCTAGGACTAACTCAGGTGATTCATCTAACTGCTGATAGACATCAGGTGCAAGGGGCTGGTGACAAGGCTCTACTTATTGGAATTTGCTTCCCCTGCTGACTCATTCATCGATTTGTTGACCTTATGGGCAGGGGGAAAGGCGCAACTATTTATTTACATGGTTTTGCCTTGAGATAGTGGTGACTGTCAGAAACTGGGTTCATTCTGGGATCAGACTCAATTTCAGTTGTAATAAGCATTGTATATGGTTTTAATGTTGTACATACTCTCAGAGCCTCTTGTTTGGGAACATTTTATAAATGGAAAAAAAATAGACCTTTTTCTTTTACAACGCATAAAAAGTTTGACTAATTAAAAATATCTTTGGGTTTCTCCATCTAATCAGTTGCATATTAAAAGTAACTTGGTCATAAACATGGGTCATCCAAGAATGTTTCTAATGATGGAACACACATTGGTACAATGCAGCATTTTCCTAGGAAACATTTAAGAAAAAAATTACAATTACCGTCTTAATGAGTGGGGAATAGAAATAGGATTAGGTCCCTTAGACCAACCAAAAAGAGTGAACCAGTTCTGAACTGCAGTTATCACTTTCTGAAAGAAGATGTGTTCCTCTCTGTCTTCGTCAGGAAAAAGCGATAGTTGAAATTTATTTTCTCTCTCCTGACTTTGGCTGTCAGCTTCATCCTTCTTCACCCATTCATTTTCAAGCATATTTTCCGATTCTGAAAAATACAAAAAGTATTCCAAATTTTCCTTATCCATTTTCCAGTACAAAAACAGCACTTTTTAAAACACTAATCTTATTGAGACAGCAAAGAAATAAAATACAGGGATCATCTGAACTGTTATTTATATTGATTATTCCTGACAAGTGACAAGATATAAATTTTGGAAACAGCAAACCGTGCATTTCTGGGTCCTATCTTTATTTACAAAAGGAGAAATGGTTAGTACACAATCAGAAAAAGATAAATACAGACCATTCAAACTTGGCATATGAAATCATGGGCAGTAATCTTGCCAAAATATTCTTAGAAGTGGTTCAATAAGGATTGTTTACAAAGCTTGTCCAGGCAAGTTCCATACCCCAGTGATATAGAAATGCACAACTGGCTAAGTTACCTTTGCCCAAATTATCAGGTACTGTATAAGCCTCTAATACTGGAAGAGGTTTGTTTGTACTATCAGTTTATTGTGTATTGTCATTGCCCCCACCTCCCAAAAAAACCTGATATGGTTGAATACTATATTGCATATTATCACTATCATGCCTAAACTATAAAAAGTTAGGAAATACAAAGTTAAGGATTAGAAGTTTGTCAAATCAAGCACTCTGATGTCAGAAAATGCGTTGCTCATGCAACTTTAATTTGGCTCCCTTGTGCATATGTATTGTGTATTACATGCAGAAGTGATTACCTGTGAAACGTTTGGAGCAAGTGACTTGCTCAGCATCACACAGGAACTCTGATTCTACCCCTGACTGTACCACAAAGTCTCCAATACCTTGACCATGAGACCATTAATGGCTATTAGCCAGGATGGGTAAGGAATGGTCTCCCTAGCCTCTGTTTGTCAGAGGGTGGTGATGGACGGCAGGAGAGAGATCACTTGATCATTACCTGTTAAGTTCACTCCATCTGGGGCACCAGGCATTGGCCACTGTCAGTAGACAGGATACTGGGCTGGATGGACCTTTGGTCTGACCCAGTATGGCCATTTTTATGTTCTCATTCTTTCTTTTTCTGTAAACCCCTGCCTCATTCACTACATAGCTTCCAACTTCTGCAACAATGAGGCAGAGGTCCTACTTACAACAGATTCCTTCACTACAGTGACTGAGGAACCTCTTTGTGCCCACTGGCAGAGGGCACAGGGGGGGACAGAGTTTTACAGCAATCCTCTAGTCAATTATATGCACAATAATTCACCAAAGCGGGGGGAGGGGGGGAAAGCATGTAAGGTCTCTACTGAGAGCCAATAGCCCGCTGGTCAGCATAATCATTGTGTTACATATGTATGGATAATATTTAAGAAGTTGTGTGTCTATAATGAAAATTAAGTTCTTGACATTAAAGCAGGTCATCAGGAGGTGACATGCCTTGTACAGATTCTGTTCAGGCAAGGGGTGTTAGACACTAGTCTCTGTCTGCTCATTGTGCATCTCATGATTCACTTTTGCTATATCAGGGCTTGCAAAGAAACACACAGTATTCTTTAAGTAGGGGACAAGCTGGCAGCATGTTTTGTCTCGAAAAATAGATTTCAGCCAGGTCTGGCTTAAAAACGCTAGTAGGACTTTGGGGAGAGCTTTAGTTTAAAAAGTCTAGGTTTTAAAATGAGTATGATTTTATTGTATATGTAAATATTTGTTTCCAATATTTCTACCTGCTTGCTATGATTTGAATATCTTCTCTTGGTTAAATAGAGTTGTGCTTGTTTTCACTATAAACACATCTAATTGCTCTGTGTTAAATAGAGCAGTGGCCTGAGGTGAAGCTAGTAAGCTGGAGTGCACTGCTTCTTTGGGAGCAGCAAATCTGTAAATACTGTGCATGTACAGCAGAACAGGGGCAGAACACTCCAGGGAGATGCTCAGAGTGCTCAAGGTTGGAGAATATCTAGCACTAATCTGCACATGGACAGTGGAGTGCTTGTGTTGCCTGTAGGATCAGGGAACTGTCCCCCAGCAGACACAGACAAGGCTTCCCCACATTAAGGGAAGGTGGTAGCAAAGTGCCTGACAACCCTGGGTACGCCCAGAAAGCATCACGACTACACAGCCTAATTCATCCCCAGAGCACCACCCATCCTGTGCTCTGTGTAAAAAAATAGTACGGGATCACATAATTAAAGACCATATCTTAATGCATACATATGAAGGGACCAAATTAAGATTGTATGGACAATGTTCATTCTGGCATTTCCTAACTTGTGCTCGATTCTTCTACATTTTAATCCTTAACTTTGTATTTCCTGCTCTTTTATGGTTTAGATTATGGATGAGAGCAATCTTAACTAACATTAAATTAAGTTGTTTATGTATTTCCTCAGCTTTTTTAATAGAAAGAGAATATTTTATATATTTACTTTTTAAATAATAAAGCCTTTACACATTTGTTGCCTTCTATGTATATTTTGTTGTCATTGTAGTCTTTGTGAAACTCTAGACTACACCACTCCCTGTTAATTGAAAAGTAATTAAAACTATTCAAACAAAACATTTTACTGGAACTTCAGTGTCTTTTTTGAAAAAAATTGTGTAAGACTATGACTCAGAGATCTATAATTTCCTATTTCTTTTAAAAGGTGAATATTCAGAAAGTCATAGACCCCAATTTGGAAGGATCAGATAAACAATCTAAAGGAAAAGAGCTGGAATTTTGTAGCTTATTTTCATGTAACCCTTTTTGAGGAAAGTAACAAACAATAACCTTCTGAAAAGAACCAGTGTGCCTTAGCCCAGTACAAACCCAAAGGAGCACTGGAGGAGCTGAACCAAACCCTGTCTGCTTTCATTACAGCTCCTCTTGGGACCCTTCTTTGTAACAATGTCATGGGAGTCTAAGCCCTGGTATACACTGGGGGAAGGGGGGAAGAATTGATCTAAGTTATGCCACTTCAGCTACGTGAATAACGTAGCTGAAGTCGACGTACTTAGATCGACTTACTGCGGTGTCTTCACCGCGGTGAGTCGACTGCTGCCGCTCCCCCGTTGACTCTGCTTGCGCCTCTCGTGGCACTGGAGTACAGGAGTCAATGGGAGAGGGCTCGGGCGTTGATTTATCGCATCTAGACTAGATGCAATAAATTGATCCCTGCTGGATCGATCGCTACCCACCGATCCAGCGGGTAGTGAAGACATACCCTAAGAGAAAATCAATTATTAAAGGCAGATGTTGCCATGACAACCAGGACAATAGTGACCCTTCTGAAGTATGTAAATGAACTGGAGGGAGTGATGAGTGGCTAATTGTCTCTGATGTTTCAGTGTTTCAGGCAGCAGCAGGGGAAGGAACCATGCATTGTGTGTGGGCTTTTCCTACATTTTAAGTCTTTCCAAATTTCCTAAAAACCAACAGCATACCAATCCAAAATACATACTGGAGATCATTCCACACACACATTTATTTGTGGCTGAAATCTGGCTCAAATTCCCCATGGCACTTTCAAAAAAAGGTGAGACCCTAAGGTATAGGCCTTCAAAAAAGAAAATTTTGATGCAACTTTAACTGCTGTGAGACTAATAGATATTTTCTTTGCTACACTAATTACTTCAGTGTTTACACTTCTTAAAAAGCATTTTATCATCATCATCATCATCTTGGTCTTCATATTTTTACAAATAACCCATTTAGACTTTCACTGTGCAGGATATTAACATTCATTGTGTGTGGTTTTTGTTTCAATTTTTTAATCTAAACTGGTTTTATAATTGCTTACGGTTTAAAAAGGGAAATAGTTGTGTTAACTGATTCCTCTTTTTAAAACCTTGGGTTAGCTATGTGATGAGGATCTACTGTATTGCAAATTGACTTTTCATTGGGGAGTTCTATCAGAATCTCTCTTCCTTAGACAATGGCAGCATGGTCACCTTAAAAAGGACCAGATTCCACCACTCTTATGTATACTGAGTATTAATTTGTTCCTGGAACAGTCTCATTCATTTTAGTGGGATGGCTCCAGTCATATGATATTACCCTACGTGAGTAAGAATAGCATAATCTTGCCCAGAGTTTGTGACCAGTTATTGGCATAGTAGAATCCAACCACAGGTTGGGTCCGCCCACCACAAGGTTAAAACTCAGTGACTATGGCAGCTAATTTTTGCCCCCTCAGCAATTTAGTAGGGCACAAGGCTGTTATCCTATAACCAATTCAGTATGGGACGGGAGGGGGTCTTCTGCATGAATGAGACTCCTAGACACGCTGTGTAACCAGTTTGGTTAATTCCAATTCCATTATGTATTTCCTCTTTGTGTTCATGTCCACCAGACATTCTATCGTCTGCTCAGATGGGATGGGATAGTTTCCCAAATATTCACAGGCTACACTCATTGTCAGGCATCATAGCAGATAAGAAATTTTTCTTTAAAAAATTTAAACACTGAAGTAGTAAGCAGAAATACTGTTACAGAAATCTATATATTTAAATATTAATTGTGGTTTTACCTGAAGAAGAACCTTCATAGGCTGAGTTAGTGACTGCATAGAGGGAACTGGAGGAAGTACTATGGGACAGTGATCCTGGAGTGTAACAGGGATGCAAAACAGCTTCTCCATTGTTGTAGATTATCCCATTATTGTCTATAAAATACAGATTTTGAGCTGAAGTTTGATTAAAATGCACAATAAAAGACATTACCTTACTGGCTGTGTATTAATGGTTCACATACACAGTTATCTGCTATTAAATCTTGGTTTCTTTTGCAGCTCAGGTTATCAGGTAACACTTACAGTTTGGCTGATGATAACATGGCACTTCTCTAAACAGTAACTGAAGAAAAAATTATGTGCAATTTCCCCCCCAACTATAATCTGTACATCTCAGGTATGGAATAAACCCCAGAGGAGCATTCCCAACTCTAAAGTGCTCAGCCAGTAACCAAGTCCCCTTTTAAGGCATGTCTGACCCCGGCTCCTCATTCAGTGGGTCTCAGTGTTTCATAGTCAGCCTTTTCAAAGCACTACCAATCCCGCACATTTCACAAAAATTAAAAAGCAGCATCTACAGAAACCTCAGATCTGTTGAGATGGGCGCAGGAGTAACAACACGGAAAAGTAATTCATGTTCTCTGAAAATACTCAGTATTTTTTTTTAAATCCAAAGATACCCTTTCTCAGTACAGTCTTACTCTCCACTGCTACAGGGGGAAAGAGTCTACTAGCAGGGAAACAGGCAATTGTGAAGTAGTGGAAGATTACCAGCAGGTGAGGTTGAGATAACGCATGAGGGTAGGCTAAAAAGATCAAGATAGCAGAGAAGGAGCAGGAGGAAAGAAAGGGATTTGGAGTGAGATAGCATTGTAGATTTAGGGAGAAAGTTGGCGGTGGGGAACAGGTGTCTTGAAGGTGAGTAAGAACTGAATTTGGGGCAGCAGGCCCCAAACGAAAGCTGAGGGATTGTGGGTTGCCTGCTGGGAGTTGATTCCTGAATCATGCGCCTCCCCAGAGGTACAAGTGAAGTTCAGACTCCTAAATTCCCTCAGCCTGACAGCTCTATTGCAGAGCTCCTAAAAGGATTCATGACTTAACTTCTGTACCTGGAAAGATAATGGAGCAAATAATTAAGCAATCAATTTGCAAACATCTATAAGATAATAAGGTGGTAAGTAACAGTCAGCATGGATTTGTCAAAAACAAATCATGCCAAACCAACCTGATTGCTTTTGACACGGTAACAAGCCTCATGAATGGGGGGAAGCGGTAGACGTGACTTTACTAAAGCTTTTGATACTGTCTCACATGACCTTCTCATAAACAAACTAGGGAAATGCAACCTAGATGCAGCTCCCATAAGGTGGGTGCAGAACTGGTTGGAAAACCATTCCCAGAGAGTAGTTATCAGTCGTTCACAGTCATACTGGAAGGGCATAACGAGTGGGGTCCCGCAGGGATCAGTTCTGGGTCCAATTCTGTTCAATATCTTCATCAATTATTTAGGTAATGGCATAGAGAGCATATTTGTAAAGTTTGTAGATGATACCAAGCTGGGAGGGGTTGCAACTGCTTTGGGGGACAGTATTAAAATTCAAAATGATCTGGAGAAATGGTCTGAGGTAAGTAGGATAAAATTCAATAAGGACAAATGCAAAGTATTCCATTTGGGAAAACAATCAGTTGCACACATACAAAATGGGAAATGACTGCCTAGGAAGGAGTACTGCGGAAAGGGATCTGGGGATCATAGTGGATCACAAGCTAAATATGAGTCAACAGTGTAACGCTGTTGCAAAAAAAGCGAACACCCTTCTGGGATGTATTAGCAGGAATGTTGTAAGCAAGACACGATAAGTAATTTTTGTGTGCTACTCTGTGCTGCTTAGGCATCAAGTGGAGTATTGTGTCCAGTTCAGGGCGCCACATTTCAGGAAGGATGGGGACAAATTGGAGAGAGTCCAGAGAAGAGTGACAAAAATTATTAAAGGTCTAGAAAACATGACCTAGGAGGGATGATTGAAAAAACTGGGGTTGTTTAGTTTGGAAAAGAGAAGACTGAGAGGGGACATGGTAACAGTTTTCAAGTATGTAAAAGGTTGTTACAAGGAGGAGGAAGAAAAAAAAAATTCTTAACCTCTGAGGATAGGACAAGAAGCAATGGGCTTAAATTGCAGCAAGGGAGATTTAGGTTGGACATGAGGAAAAACTTCCTAACTGGAAGTTAGGAATCAATTGCTTAGGTAGGCTGTGAATCTCCATCATTGGAGATTTTTAAGAGCAGGTTCAGGGCCAGCCCACAACATTTTGGCAGTGAGGTGGGGAGCTCAAATGACACCCCCATATCCCCTTGCTTGGGCCAAAAAACTTTGAAAGGTCTCAATTCTGTCTTCTTCCTGATGTACTCCTCTCATGGTACTGCTCTGCTACCTACCCCAATAAAGGAGAACTAACAATTTAAAATGCCTTGTTCAAAAATTTTAAGTAACACTTATCTTTCAAACGCCTGAACAGCAAATGTAACTTTTCTTGTCTGCATAGTAAACACTGGCATTTTTATCTGTTTGAATAATCAAAGTGGTGCTTTCCATGCCTTCTTGGTTGCAAAGATTTGAACTGCTTCCTGCTGAAGGTCCACAGTCTGGGACAGCTCATGCTCTATTGAGATGGTTGTAAGGCCGACCGGCCTCTCCTGTGTCATTGTGGAGCGTAGATGTGTTTTTATTAACTTTAGCTTGGAGAAGCCGCGTTCTCCGCTAGCAACTGTTACAGGAAGTGTTAGAAGTATGCGCAGAGCAACAAAAGCATTTGGAAAGAGGGTGGTCATCTTATTTGTGCACAGATATTCCAGAACAGCCTTTGGAGTTGATCCTGCTGAAATGCATCTTGGAAGGGCTTTCAGTTCATCACCTAAATCACTCGCATCAATATCACACATGTCATGCGTCAACACTGTCTAGTGCCCTGTATTGCTGGTGTAGGTCTTTTTCAGGTATAGTGAGGAGTTTTGGAATATCATACAACATCCCAAATATACTGCTGTGTTCCTTGAGCTGCATGAAACGTTCTTCAACTGACTGTATTGCACAATCTAGAACCTGGTTAAAGAATTCAACTTTGAATTGTTGTTTGGGGTCTCTTATGGGATTATTCCGTGCCTCGTAATCAAAATGTTGTCTTCTTCGGTGACTCTTGTATTCTTGAATGGGTAGGAAAATAGCTTCAGTGTGATGTTCCTCTGCCAACTTCTGTGTACTCTTCAGAACGTTTTGAAATCCCTCATCTGACCGGTAAGACTGTAGGTATGACTTTGCTTTGTCCTGTTGTGCCATTGCTCCAGATATATCAAAGTCAACACCTTGGAGTCTCTTGCTTACAACATTTATTTCAAACAGTATGTCATGCCACAACACTAAGCCACACAGAAATTTGAAGTTATGTATGTTT